ATTTCTGCCGTCAATTAGCTTAGCTTAGCATAAAGACTGGAAATGTAGAATCAGCTAGCCTTGCTCTGCCCAAAGGCTAAAAAGCCATGTACCAGCACTGTTATAGCTCACTAATTAACATATTTTCATCTTGTTTGGTTGAGTGTAAAAATAAATAGATAATTATAGTTAAATATGCCCCAGACTTGTCCAAAGCTAAGCCTGGCAAGAAAGCAATTAAGCAAATTTCCCAAAATGCTAAACTATTTCTTTTAAATAGACAAATGACGGTACTAATGGGGATATTGTTGTGCTCTAGAATGGATAGGACAGATATGCACTCAGCTGGCTATGGTCACATCAATAGCACAGCTGTGACTGCCAGCCAGCTCAGTGAATAGACAGGGAATTAATGCACACAGCTATTGGATGCAGAAGCTCCTGCAGGCTTGTTTTCTGCCTGTGATTGTTTAACTCGTGTATTTTTTTTTGTTTTTGTTTTTTTGCACCATTGTATGCATCTACTGAGCTGAGGGCAAACTGGCCACTGTAAAATGCCCGCAGATAGGAGATGTGACATCAAGTAAGAGCAGCTCTAACTGACCGTAATAGCCCTCTGACACATCTACGTACAAACACACTCACTCACACACAAACACACACAAAATGGAAAGAAAATCCTAATGGAGCAGTGGAATGACTTACACCAAAGTTAGAAATGAGGGATATATTTCCAGGGACTTGGATGCCTGTGTTTCAGTCATTTCAACAAAATTTCATCATTAATCACTGCCACATATAGATGACAGCACCAAATTACAGCCAAATACAACCACCCATACTGCTGTGTTGTGCGATGTTACTGAACATAACATACTCTGGAGCTGGAACATAAAGGAACTGCTGCAACTTATACTAAGTTAAACTCCTTATGCTTACAATTGTGAACATTCAAACAAAGATTGCTCCTGTTTTATACTTTATTTTTCTTTATTTGTCAGTTCATTTTTTGACCACACTGAAACACATGAATACGTGCAGGAACCTGGTTTTCACTACCAACATAATAAATACTAAATAACTTTTCCACAGATTTTTCCAGTTTCATTTCCCTCACTTCCTCCATCATTATTAAATACACATTATTATCAGAAATGACTTGTTAGATTTATTTCAACAATGAATTTATTGTGTTCAATAGTATGTTACATACTGTCTGTTTTCTGTTGGACTTGATATTGATAAGCTCTACTTGGCCCTCCTCTGCAAAAGTGGCTATTGATTGATGGTGAAGAGTGAGCCCCTGCCTCCACTTGGCAGAGAGGAGGACGGTCCTACTGCTGTTACATATCTGCACACAGGCTCAGGGGCCTGCCAACTCTGTATCCTTCCCCAGGAATAAAAGGTCATTTGAGAGGAGATGGTGTGTCCTTTTGTGTGTCACAGTTCTGCCTGGAGAAGTGTTGTTTGTTTTGTTTTATTTTTTGTTTTTTGTTGTTGTTGCTTTGTCTTGTTTTTCAACCTCTCTTCCTGCTCTTTGAATGCACTTTTCCCTCTTTTGCTCTCTGGGTATTTAGAAGGTTAGCGAGTGTCTAATTAGCATCCAATTCGAAAACCCATATGTCGACCTCATGGTCCACAGTGGGGCCTTGTTAGCTCACTAATACACGTGCACTGCAAATACTGCCACACAAGTGGGCTAGCACATGCCTGCACACTCACAGCTGGAGATGCGTTGGATTGTACATTAGTGTGTTCTGGGTGCCCAGACTGGTCCACAATTATGTTAATCCAATGGAGCTGGCTGCATGAGTGAGATAACGAGATGCTTACTCACACTAAGCTCCAACTCAAAAGCAGCACAATGATGTTTCAAACTAAGACAGCCACTCTGTAAATTGGTCTGCTGTATTTTTGCACAAATAGTCGTGGAGCATGAAAGGGTGTTTAATTTCCCTTAACGCTATTCCTCTCATCTCCAGCATGTCACTCTTTATCCCTTGCATGCTTTATTTATCTCATCTAGATATTTCTGGCCATAAATCCTATTTTCGCACCAGTCAATTTCCCTGTCTCTATTTCTGTCTTTTTGCCAGTGCTAACACTTCTGTTGTCCTCTCTTGCCTAGAGTTAGATAAGGGGACTGACACCACTTTCATGTCTGTTTGGTATATATGAAGGTACAGCCAGCAGAGTAGCATAGGATAAAGACTTGGGGAAACAGCTTGTTTGGCTCCGTCTGAGCATAACAAAATCTGTCTACCAGTACCTCTAAAGCTCACTAATTAACACATTATATCTGTGGACAAACATCTATTCGTCCTTTTACAAGGAGTTATGTGCTGGAGTAACTTTCTGGAGTCTCCCGTAGTAAAACCACAACTTTTTGTACAAATTAAACGTATGAGATGAATGTTGTTGATTAATAAGCTTTAGAGGTGCTTGTTTACAGTCTTTTTGTTAAAGGTATAGTGTGTAGGATTTAGTGGCATCTAGTGGTGAAGCTGCAGACTGCAACCATTTTAATACAGCTCAGCCTTCCAAGCATGTAGGAGGAAGTACAGTGGGCGATGTTGTGTTCAGTATTATTTGTTATTTTCTACATTATACCACAAGGTGGTGCTGTGAGCTAGTGCACAAAAGGAAAAAGGCAGGGCATGCCTTGCTTCTGTTATTAAAATCAGTAACTATATTACCTGATCCTGATTCTTTCAATACTTGAGCTCATGAAAAGCCCTTTCTAGAGCCAGGGGTTTGGTTTGTCCTTTCTGGCCTACTGTAGAAACATGGTGGTTCAACATGGCAGCCTTCATAGAAGAAAACCCGCTCCCTCAGCAGATAACAATGGGTCACTTTAAGGCGATGAAAATGCAACAAGTCTTATTTTCAGGTGATTATTATACTGCTATACTATTAATATTATATTCTATTTATGCCAGTAGATCCTCCTAAATGTTACACACTGAACCTTTAAATTGTGCTTTAGGTTTAACACAGGCATCAGTCAAATTCAGCTTTGTATACAGTATCAAGTTACATGTATTCATAACTGAAGTGCAAAATGTGAATCAGGCCACTAACACTGAATCAGCTTTAGCCAAGTTGTCAACACTGCCAACTGGTTTGTTTCAGGATCTTGAGAGCAAACAGATTCCTCATTTCCATCCAAGTTTGAATCAAAATCCCACTGTGAGAAATATTGTGTCAAATTGCTAATCCCCAACCTCTAAAACCAACCCAGATAAAAGTGTGTGAACCTTTAAAAAACCTTCCCAGAAAAAAGGAAACACTTTGATTAAATGACTCCATATTGAATCACTGTTGCATTATACCACATAAATCAAGAACTGAGTAGATATACACGTTCTTACAGACAATTTTTACTGCAATACCAGTAAAACTGTATTTTGTCTTTCAAGCTATTTATCCTATTGAATATTTATTGTTTCATCTTCCAAAGTTTCACTCACAAGCTTGCTCCTTATTGGATTGCTGTAATCTCATTTCCCTCTTTCTACAAGCGGATCACTCCCCAAAAAATATCTCTGAGCATGACTGCACTTGAATGCATAATTTTTTGATGAAAACAAACGATTAAAATGGACCATTGTGGGTAAGCAATTACCACATGTATGCAAATGTGCCAGTTTTTCCTATTATCTATTCATTAGAGTCGAGTTTTGTCAGTCCCAGTTTGCACCCTGTCAGTTTTCACTCTGCAATCCTAATTATACTGATTTACTTCAGGGACGTAAGATGATTGCAACAACAATTAACTGGCTGGATAGAAAACCAGGGGTTCCTTAAGTCCTGAGGACGCAGACAGAGACATCCACAATAAACTTTATGTTCTTTCTTTATTTGGATCATCTTAATCCTCCAGCATATGTGAAAATTTTTCTGAAGCACAATAGATACAGTATTTCTTCTTTTTCCATCTTTCTTTGGATAAAATCCTGTCAAAATTCAGTGTCACATTCTATTTTTGATGTTATTATTTTATCTATTTAAGCACAGAGGGATGTAAAAAGACAAGCAGACATGAGAAAATGCAATCACATTTGACTTTACACTCAAAACAGACGATCCCCACACAGTAGCTTATGTCATGGTAAAAAGAGAAGGGTCACTTTTTCATTGATCTTTGGCAAACCTGAGGCAGAACATTTTCAGAGACTGCTTTTATACAGTTATTTTTGTGGTAGTTTGAAATTAGTCTTCTTTTCAATTACTGTTCAAACAGGATATCATTGAATAGGAAAGCTGAAAAGGTCTTCAAAGTGCATAAAGGGATATTCATATTTTAAAAGCAGGAAAGAGCTTTTTCTTTTTGCAGTCTTCTCTATTCTATTTATTATCACCACAGGTGTTCCTGTGCTGATAATAAATTGAATTCAGCAATTTAGCCAAAGCAGACTAAATTCTTATCGTGTTACTTTATTTTATTATAAGGCCACTGAGCTATGCAAAGTTATAAACTGACTAACCTTTACAGGGTTTCTTTGTCAGAAACAAATAAATATGGGAAGGTTTTAAAATAGAAGTTTAGAAATCCGTCTTTAACAGGCCTGTAACTCATCAAGTCATCAATGAGAACATATTAATCACAAATAAATACTCCTTTCTCTTAATGTAATGTCCAACCACACAGAGCCAAACAAAGTATAAAAAAATGTGATGATTCAGTCGATCATAATGAAACAGAAATTAATTAAAAGGTATTGAGCTGAGCCTGAAAGAGATGATTTTGGACCAAAAACACAATGTTGAAAATCTCATAATTCTTGAGAACATTTGGATAAGATGGAAGAGAACAATATACTTTAAATACGGCAGCATAGGCAACAAATTTGAAGGCAGCAACAACAGGGGAAGCACTTTAAAGGGAACAGAGTCAGATATTTAAATATATTCCTTTACAGAAACACATCACAGTGTCCTGCCTCTTGCCTGGGCAACCTTGGAGTTTGTCTTGCGACATAAAGCATTGCAGATGAAGTCACCAGCCTCTACAACCTTGGCAAGGTTCACACCCTGCAAAAATAATTTTTGTGGCATCAGTTAAAATGCAATGTCTACAGGGTGATTTTGTCCTTAGTGTGAACATAAAGACAGGTTCCTCATGAATTTATGCGTGCAACAGGTGAAGGAAAATTAAACTGTAGTGACAAAACTCCACCAGCAGGGGTAGGAATTGTTAAATAAATTGTTCCTGAGATGGGGCATGCAACACTGTGGGCTTGTGTAAGCTGTGTAAAACCACCAATATCATAAAATAAACATTTACGGAACAGTATGTTTGCAGAGCGATCTGTTTATGTAAATGAGCTCTAAAAGATTGTGTGACTTTGGCTGATCAATTGGGATTATACAGACATGAAATACAGCAGGTCTGTCAAAGTGCACTGTAAAGACATACTTACAGTTTCGATGCCCATGCCATGGAGCATGTAGAGAACATCCTCTGTTGAAACATTGCCTGATGAACCCTGAGCATACGGGCAACCTCCCAGGCCAGCTACTGCAGAATCCACCACACAGACCCCCATCTGCAAGGACACACAACAGAGACATTCAGCACCTCCACACAGGCTTCACCTCAGGTAAAATCCAGGAACAAAGATCCTTGTTCTGTTGGATTGTTCTGCCCGGTGCAGCGCGCCTTGCCAAGGCTGTGGTCGTGTTTTACAGCTGTTTAGGAGAACTGTGGGCTTATGTCTTGAAGATGAGTGGGCACAGAATGTCCCGCAGTATGGCTTAGTCATCCTCTTTGTCAGCTTAAACCACTAGCACCACATAATTACGGCCTTGTTCATATGAGAGGAACATTATAAATGCTGAACAGAACATTTCATATGTTTCTGATTCTCCTGGTTACTCATGTTTTTACAGCACTACTCTGCCTTTAAACCATGGGGATTCACTTTCTTGCCACATTGAGAAGACATTTTTTCCTTGGCTGGATGGTGTCCTCTTACACTTCGCCAATAATACAGGAATTGTAACATTACTACACAAATGGGCAGTTGCTACAAATAATCATTAATGTCATAAATGATTTCACTGATGGCCTTGGTTGAACATTTTCCTGATCTATGTGGGTCTTTGTACACAAAAATATACGAATATTTACACCTGCAAGAGATACATTTAACGTTTTTTTTTTTACATGTTTGACTGCTTACAGTAAACATAACTGCTATATTTGTGTGGGAAACTTTACTGGTTTTTGTTTTGTTTTATTTTTTTACTGCCTACAGTACCAAGTGTCTGGCCTCCATATGAAATTTAATGACGCATTTTCAGTTGTTTTTCTGAATTTCACTGCTTTTGTTGTACAGTTTACCAAACATTCTAAAATGCAACTTAGGAGGTTTTTAATCTTCTTTTGTTTTGATGTTAACTTATATATTTATATTTTACAATCTTTCTGAACGCGCATAAAGAGACAGTTCTTGCCGTCGAAGTGTATAACTTAACCACGAGTATAAACTTTGTTTTCACACCAAAAAATGATGATGCCAGACCTTCAGTTTTTCACAGTCATTACAGACTAAGGTCTCGGGATGTTTTCCACATGTCCCTGGGATTGTCATGAGAATATTAAAGATGTTTTCCAGCTTCCGTGGCAGAGCCAGATGTCAGAGGATCCCACAGTGAGACAAAATTAACACGCTGATCCTCTCAGCGGCATCGGGTCATGAAGGGCTTTCAACCCGTGGAGCAGAACCCAGCAAGCTAAATTAAGAGAATATCAATTGCCTTTTTTTGAACAATGCTGCTAATTGGTTGCTTTTCCTCCAGACAAGAACCTACTTCTTTCAGTGGCTGTCTGAGCCAGCCGTAATTGCTGTTTGTGTTGGCAAGGGAAGAGGAGGAGGTGGGGTAGAAGGAGGAGGAAATCTACTCCGGTGTGTGCAGTGCACGAGATTTCCAGACCTTGGTTAAAGCCAGAGCAGGATATTGTACTAGGCAGAATTTTTTGTAGTATAAACATGGAGTTGTAATCTACCATGCCAATCCTCTCGCTTTCAGCTGCTAACCGTGTAAGGCCAGGGGTCTTCAGCATACTGTTTCCGAGAGGAACAAAACAGACCCTTCAGCAGCGTGCCCTGTTCCTCCGGACACTAATCGTGCAGGAATTGGTGGTCAGCAGCTCCAGCTTGCCAATGCTCAGTTAGGTTCACACTGCCCAGAAACCAGATGTGCACCCAGTGTTAAAAAGCCATATTCAGTGAGCTGTGGCCATATAAAAACAATGCATTCCTGGGTAAAGACACATGCATTTTTTGAACTTGCATGATTTGGGATAAGCTCGTTGACATTCTACACTCTGAGTGGACGAGGCTGAAGATGGACATGATCCCATTTTGGTTTTATAACTGCGTCAGAGAGAGAGGAAGAGAAAGAGCGTGTATTCACTGAGGGATATGAAGCAGTGATGCTTTACCCACTGCTAAATAAACTGGGAAGCTGAAAGAAACTGTCACAGATCAACTGCTGACACATATATCACCTCTTCCCAGGAACACATAAATAAGCTTGCCACTGGAAAGCGAAGCACAGTTATTGGAGGGCAGCTAGGATATAGACAAAACAAACATATAAAGAATAAATAAATGACATTTTTACTTCATGATTTATTTGAGCATAAAAATGTTGAACTATATACTCATAATAAAGTCATTCACCTTCCATATCAACCCCCTTTACGGATTACTGAGTTTCATGAATGCAGAACAAACAATAACCACGCCAATCTGTCCATTTTATGTCTTTATGTTCAGGTGGAAGCTGTGTGGTCAGTAAAGAATACTTTTTTATGAAAGGTTTGGTAACCACTGTGCTAACTACTGTAATTATTAGGTTTAATATTTAACAATAATAATATAACTGTATTCTATTTCTTTTTTTACAACAAAAAAATACCAGAAAGGTGTGTGTTTGTGTGTGTGTGTTCGTTGTGTTTGTGCTTCATGCATTTGTTTGAAAGATGATACTTTTGTTGTTCTCCGTGATGTTTGGTCTTGTCGGTTAAGGTTGTGAATGTCATATTGTGTGTGCTGTCTGTCATGGCTGTATCCTTCTATTTATTCTTTTTTTTTCTTTTTTCTTTGAGTATCTAAAACGGGGCCCTATAAATAAAATATATTATCTATTATCATTATCATTTTGTGATTGAATATAATTTGGTTTCTATAATTTAAGCTTAAGTGTGTATAATTATTTATTATCGGATTGGATTGCGTGGTTTCAATGGTGATAAAGATTACAATAATGATGGTCATGGTCACAATATCATAATAGTAAAAGTCAATTATAACATTATATCAACACCTTTCGATAATAAATCAAGCAAAAACAAAATGTACTGGAGTTATCAACACTAGTCAATGCAATTACAGCAGATATTTGAATGTAAAGCAAAGTTATTGACTTGGTAGAGCCATCATGGTTGAGCATTTCCTAATGGACAGAGACAAAAAGAAAATACTGAAGATGAATGTTATTGTTAGCGGGGAGCTCAAGTGTGAGCACAAACAGGTTATACTGTATTCCCCAGCTGCAGCAGTACACAATACACCAAATTTGCGGGTAAGAATAAATAATTTTCCTTGCCAAGCCTGTGAAATCTAAGTACATACGTTGTCATTGTGTGACCTGCCAGGAGTAGGTTTGTAACAAAGCCCCCCCAGACCTCCAGAAAAAAAAAGAAAAGGTACAAAGACTGAGGAATGTCTTTATCAGGAACAAAAGAGGTGACTCAGGGCTGACAGCGCTGGGGGAATTCATTTCTCTCCCAGTTGGTGGTGTGGACTTCTGGCACACAGTAATGAAAACCTATGATAAAATCTTTCATTTCCATCTTGTTTATGGGTGAGCAAATGGTAGGATAAATACTCCCGGCTGCTATTATTTTCTGTGGCCACAGGGCAGCTGTGATGAATCATTCTAAATATGATCCACAGAGGAATTTAACTGTCCCTCTGCGCTTTTTCACTCCATCCACAGCCATCCAAAATCAAAGCTAACCTTAAAAATATTTGCTACTTTACACACGGACATTGTGGAGCTATTCTTCAGCACAATGTTGCAGATGAATAGCAGCACAGATAATCGAGAGAAAAGCATCAGTATTAGAGAAAATCAACCCATAATTTCCTCCAAAATGAATCCAAAATAAACACAATTATTGTGTATTGTGTCCTGACAGAGTTGACTGTGAAGAATGTGCTGGTGCAGTAAACATGTAAAAACTATTTCTGTTTTTTACATTGAAGTTACGAAGCAAGTATCTGCTATCTCAAGTTATAATACTATGAACTGCCATGTATTCATTCTTCACAATTCTCATCAATAAGGTGATTTTAATTCATAAGTTAAACTCCCCCTCCACTCCAAAATATTTTTTTTCTTCTTGTTCCTACAGTTGGATGTTTGAGCTTCACTGTGCAGAATGATGGATGTGCAGAGTTTGACACTAGAAGGATGTTTTTATATTCATGTGCTGAAAGTTTCTCTGTGCTCACTGAAAATCAGATTTTAAGGGGCGGGCCTTGCGAGCATAATTCGTGACACTCACAAATAGTGGTCCAGTATGCAACTTATACAAGTGTGATGTAGAAACCTGAAACCAGACAGGAGACGTCTTGCGTCCAGCAGAAATTAACACATTTTGCATAATATAATGAATTAACCAATTAAAGAGGTAGAGGGAGTCTTAGATTTTACTTTATGTATATATATATATATGTGTTACAACATGTCTGGAGGGGATCTTGAATATTAATTTCTACATAAACATGCAGTGGCACTGGGTCATGAAGAACTTTCAGCCATGGAGCAGGACCAAGCAAACTAAACTGAAAGGATCTCCATTGCCTTTTTCTGAACAATGCTCGTAATTGGTTGCTTTTCCTCAGCTTATCAGCATCCAGTCAAATTTCATAGTATAGGACAGTATGTCGTAGACAGAAATGCAGTAAGAAGTAATAACTGGCCTACTTTGGTCAATGTCAGAAATACAATATAAGAAAAAGAATGTGTGTAATATGTGAAAATCTAAAATATATATATACGTGGTAACTAGTTTTTTATTTAAATATTATTATTAGCAGTTTTAACATTAAGGTGCTTTGTCTTTGGGTGGGTGTGTAACTCTTAGTTAATTAAATGTTTTACTGGTCTGAAAACAAAGCCTTTGTTATGGGTGGTCCTCTAAATTAATGACATTACTACAGTAATTACGCAGTATTTTACGCAAACTACTGTAAAAGTCACAAGCCATAATTATATTCCAAGTGCTACCAAAGTTCTTGGAGTTGGGTCTGCGGCTTCAGCGCCATTCATCACATGCTCAGCAGCGGGCGAATGAAAGGATCATTTTCCACTGGCCTTTAAGCGCAGCATTGTCAGAGAGTTCAACAGCCAAGCGACAGATGAGTTAGGAGCCCCCCAGGGCCCTTCTATCCACCTAGCTCTCAGTTGCTTTGTCCAACAGACACTGAATAGGTGAGCCTTTGTGCTGACCCCCTCACATCTGTTGACCCACCCAGCCCCCAATGAGCTTCCTCCTCTGCAATGACAATGTGATCCAGAGAACTGATACAGCCATATCTGTGTTACCTCTGTTTTATGTCTGGATTTATGTCAGTTTTACACTCGCTACGGGCAAAGTGGTGAAAAACACCCCAACGAGAGCTCTTCCACAGGGGTTTACAACCTAATTCCATTTTTGTGAGCTGTGTAGAAACAGAGTATATTACTGTAATAGTCCACTTTTTTTTTCCTTCACAACAATACGTGTGTACTGTGATGGAAGGGCCCATTGGAAATATCTTATGTTCATTAAGATTCTGGGATTTTTTTTCAGTGGGCAGTTTGTGAATCATCTTGCTTTGTGGGGAGGTTTAGATCATGTTTCTTAATGCCCCTCTTCCTTGCTGACTGATGGTTCCCGGTTCTCTCTGTGTCCCATTGTAACCTACACATTTGTTTTGTGCATACTCGCCCAACAGAGGATACATTCATAATGTCATAAACTGACACACTGTCATTAAAGCTCAGGGCAGATTCAGGTGTACAATGAGTTTCATAAACATCGAGACAGCGATACAGTGTTCTGCTCAATACTTAAAATGACAATATTTAAGAGGAGAATGTCAATAGTATTTTTTAGATTTATATTAGATGAATACATTCTGCATGTGATTATATTCTTGTAAGCTCTAAAATATGTGACTTTTATATAATATTTTAATTAAATATATATTTCAAGCAACCTTAGAATGAAATTTGCCATTTACTTTGGCCATCAGCCTAAATGAGGATTTTGTTGAGAATTTGACTTCCTTTTGCCTGATTCCAGTGGAAAATAAACACTACCTATCCTTTGCTCTTTGTAAAAATGAAAAAAAGATGCTGTCTTTGAATCTACTGTAACGTGTGCCCCAAAAATTTTCTAAAAAAGATGGATTGGGAGCAGCTTAACATATGATTATCCCCAGCAGGAATAATGGTTTAAAGCCTCAGAAAAGACTTGTGATCTCTACAATGTTGGCAGTTAGTTAAGGAAGTTGAAAGATATCCTGGAACAAGAATCACCACCTCGATTTGCTTCCACATCTGGCTGCTCCTCTTCATGTCATCATGAGTAACAACGTTGATTTATGCAAAGGCTGGGCATTTATCCATAATCGTCCTGCGGTTCTCCACAAGAGTGTTTGTATTCATCAGAAGGAGAAGGACGTGCAAGTGAAGGAGAAGGTGCCCAAAATAATCCATGCCAAACCAAAGATGTCAAACAATTTAACATGAGAGGATGTGCAGATCAAGAGGATGATGCATTACTGTCCTGAGCTCATACAGAGGAGAATCTACACTTCCAGCTCTGAGGTAAATGGGCCTCCTTCTTCTAACCAAGCCAGTATTTCTACAGACCTCTGCAAGAGGAAGTCCTGGCACTTTCCACATCCCTCACACAAAGGTCAAGATGTTTTTTCTTCACCTAACACCTGACTCACGCCGGTCCTCCTGGAGTTATCAGAGCTCACATCTTCCTTTACTTCAGAGAGACCTGATAATTTTTTTCCTTCTCAGAGAACCCACATTACTTCATCAAAGTTGCAGAGATGTCAGCTCTCAAAGATGTCTGTTTGATGTACGCCAGGTTTTGAAAACTTTTAAGCTCTTTCCGTGTTGTTTCCCAGAATTCGCAGGTTCCTCCACCCCACTTTTGGAGCAGTCTTGGAGTCGTTCCCATTCATTTTAAGAACTTCCAGAAATGCCAGGTGCCTTGAGTGATTCTCACCCAGAGTAAAGTAGCACAGTCTTGCCAGAGAGAGCAGCACTTGTAAACCTTTACTGCAATTTATTTAACAAAGATGGATAGACTGTTATAAATCTGGGTTTGGGGTTTTGTTTGTGTGTTTAAATGTTTTTCTTTTCTATTTTGCCTTCATTGTTAATGTTTATGTCTTTTGTGTTTAAGGGCCCTCTTGTAAATGAGATCATAAATCCCACGAGGTGTAGCTTTAAAGTTTAAAATTAATTTATAATGGACATTTTTTTGGGTGTGTTCGTCTTAGCTTTTACAATCATTCTTTATAATAATAAAACAACTAGGTTTAGATGGTCAAAGTTGAATAAGCCAATGCAGTTATGCACAATGCAGTAAATGTTTCAGATACATAGTTTGGCTTTTAAACAATCAAAGTAAAGTAAAGTAAGTACTGCTAATACAACAATACTTAAACACTCTACTTCTTCTGATTTTAGTGATAACACAACATAATCAATCATTATGGCCGGTGGTAGCAGCAGTTCTTACCTGAAGTGCAGTAAGGATGTTGGGCAGTGCTTGCCCGTAAGTGTCATGGCAGTGAACTGCGAGAGCATCCACAGGCACCTCCTTCATCACACACTGCAGCATCTTAAACATGGAACCCGGAGTACCAACACCGATGGTATCCCCCAAGGAAATCTCATAACAGCCCATTTCATATAACTTCTTTGCCACCTAAAGAAGAGTGAAAATATGGTAAAATGTTCTTGTTAAAAGGAAATCATACAGTAAAAGTTGTTGATTATTTACAGTATCATTTCAAGTTTGGTTTTATATTGAAATGGCGAATAATATACCTTAAAATCTGAAGTCTTTAATAATTTATTTATTCATTGTTAATAATAGTTCAACCTGTAGTTACAGCTGGAATATGGAGAACTTTCTCAACTTGCTCAATGGTTGAAACAAAAAAAAGACAGACCACAATTCAGCCTTGTGATTCATGCTAAGACAATGAACTGGCAACACACAATGGGGTGAGTTTTTTAGCTAACATATTTATCCAAAGCTTTTGCATCTGACTAAGAGTTTCTTAATGCAAGAAAAAAGCCACTAAATCCCCAGACAATTACAGATGCTGCTGAAATAAGAGCCTGCACTCCTGTAGCTTAATGAAATGAGCATCATTCATCTCAAAAATTCACTATGTGAAGAAAAAAAGACGACCAGGAAGTGGTATGCTTAAACAACTCCTAACCAATGTCATCTACTAACATCGTCTTCTAGGAATATGTTTGCAAAACCTGTATTTTGTTAATGCGTTCAAATATGCTATGTCTGTGTTGTAAATAAGAACGTACAAGGTTTATCTCACCTCAGCAACTTTGGAAGGTTCAATGGGTCCCTCATGGGGGCATCCAAGGGCACAAGAAACATATCTGAAGAGCACAACACAATTAAAATGTGTGTATGTAACATTTGATGTTACTAACTGGAAGTGTAAAAAAAAACTTTAAAAACTGCTGTGGATGTAGCAGCAATTCACTGTAATAAAAATCATCAGAATATTTCACCGAAGCCTGTTGTTGTTAGATCAACAAGCTTAAATGAGGATGAGAAGATTTTTGTAATTTTGGCAGTTCGTCTGTTTGTTTGTGAACTAGACTGATCCGTGATTAGATTCTGGTGGTGATCCAGATCTTGATTCTGTGCCATTTGTCACTTGGAAAGTCACCGTGTTTACACTAATCCACTGTTGTCCCGATGTATTTATCTATTTTTGGACGGAGAGGCTCATATAATCTAAGAAAACATGCATTATTGCAGTGGTTTGCTTTTCCCGTGTATGACAAAAGGCACGACTATATTCAGTAACTTCCCCCAGTTTGGTTTGCTTTAATGTCCGTCTGCACTTGAGGTTTGCTAATGCATACATGTAACCTGAAGAACATCTGGCAGTTTTGTTGTAAAGGTATCATTACTGGATTGTGTGCTTTCTCCTGCATATAGAAACTGCAGTTTTTCAACAGTTTTGTTTTCATTCGGAGTAAAAAAATAAATGTGATAATCAGCGTAAAATCTGAAAGTGATTAAAACGTTATGTGTGCTTTCACTCATAGTGACCATTAATATCCAGAATACTAACCCACGGACTGGAATCTGTTGCTCTTTGGCAGTGTTAATGACTTCCTCAAACCTCAGCATGCTTTCATCAATAGAGCAGTTAATATTTTTTTTACTGAAGGTTTCAGACGCTGACCCAAACACCGCCACCTCAGTAGCACCAGCTGCAACCTTAAAGGAGGAGAGAAAAATGAACTTGTAAAACAGTTTTGAACACTGTGTTGGAGTCACACTTACGTAAGTGTACAAATTATGTGGCAGAAAAGATTATAGCGCCAACAATTAACTCAAATTGACAAGCATGGGTAAACAGTTATGGTTTATACAGCAGAGATCATCATGCCGAAGTGAAAATGAAGGCTTACAGCATCCTGGAAGCCTTGCAGGTTAGGTGTCAAAACAGGGTACTGAACATGAGGAGCTCTCTGGATTCCTCTGAGTACCTCAGTGTGGTCTGCCATCTAAACGAAGGTGGGAAAACATATGATGTAGAAAAATAAACCTTTAACATCATCCTGGGCAAATGTTTTTTCACACGCTTGTAGGCAGCAGAGATTAAGGACATAATTACTTTGTCATGTCACAGTATAAACAAAACAACATGTTTGCGTTCTCTTGTTTTCAGGAAGGAAATAGCGGTACAGTTTATGACAGAGAATGAGAAGGCAACTGTATGAAGAATATCTTAAAATATTTGTTCCAAAAGCACCTGTGAGTCCAACAAGGATGCTAGAGGAGCACATTTTCCTCAGTACTTATGCAGACAAGAAAGAGAGCCTAATAAATCACTCAGCACTCTGTTGCTGTGCACAAAGAAGAGTTATTACCTGCGGTACCCACTTTGAAGAGACAAAGCTGGTGGCCTCAATCACATGCAGGCCTGTTCCTGAGAGCATGTCTATCAGCTGGATTTTCACCCCTGTCGGGACAATTTCCTGGGGAACAATGAAACTGAAACAGCTCTTTCTGGATTTGATTCCACTCAAGACGGGAGGTACAAGATGCAGATATCTGTCAGATTTAGTTTTTTTTTTTGCTACGCTGCTTGCGAATCACATTAATATCTATAATCACATGCTGAATTTTGCACTTGCTGAATACGTTAAGATCTATCAAACAACGGGCGTGCAATACTGAAATGATAAAGCAGTGACAGACTAAGCGGAGAAAACTAAACCAGAGGCCGTGTCATCTTTCCTATTCAATTTCAAAGAAAATGTGAAACACATGCTGGCAATTATGGCACACAAACCCATATGTTATGGATTGTCTTATGTATGAAAGATACAGAGAAAATGGGAGTTTCCCCAAGGATGATCATGTATAGTAATACACAACAAGGGTGCATATACATATAAACGAGTTTTGTGACTGGAATGACAGTGTATACCTTTTCATTTTGAAGTCCATCTCTCGGCCCAACTTCGACTATTTTAACAAACTCTGGATGTCCTGTGATGGTCTGGGGGGAAATATCAAAGAGAATAAGGAGAATTACCACTCAACAGGAGTCATCCTTTTTGGCTTTGGATGCTCCAGGACATGTTATTTCTAACATGAACGACTGTCTACCTCAAAGCCAGGTGAAACCCGAGAACCAAAACATAAGCCTGTCATGACATTAGGATGCAAACTCAGGGGGATGTGTCATAGAGGACAGACTGGCGAACAAGGAAAGGGTAACTCCACACAAGCCACAGGGGATATTCTCAGGATCGGGGTATTTTTCT